GCTGCAGGGCCAGAGGCTGAGGGGCCTCCTGGGGCTGTTGCAATCAATGGCACCGTTGTCCCCATGCAACACCTCTTGTGACACCCGCGGCACAGAGGCACCGGGCTGGGCAGGAGAGGGATGGGATGGACAAGAGAGGTGGGTTGGTGTTGCGAACAGGAGAAATGAGGAAATGCTTTCCCTCCTTGTGGTCTCCCATTTATCTCTTCCATAGTGAGAGAGGGATGTGGAAGATCTGACTGAATATTGCAATCCTGCTCAGCTTTATATGTGGAGAGGAACGTTTTCCCACACATTTCACACCAACAGCTCTTTTGGGGAGTTTGGAAATGAGATGGAGAAAATAACATTTCCTGCACTCTCTCTTGCCCTTTATTTCCCCCCCGTGTGCCCTTGGTGAGTCCTGAGCTCGTTCTCCACACCTCCATCAGTCTGGCTCCACATGTTCTGGGTCAAGGAGCCCCCTGGGCTGGGGGAGCAGCACTTGAGTGCAGAGAGAAAAGGGAGCTTGAGGGAACAGCCCCAGAGTCAGTGTCAGGCCAGGTGAGCACAGCTGAAGGAAAAGCCAAGCTGGGCAGGGATGGTCTGAACATCCCTCACCAAATCCTCCAGGTCTGGAAAGCAATGGCAGTGCCAACATTTTTGTGGTGAGTCTCTTATCCCTGGTAACTATTGACCAGACCAGAGGAAATGGTTTCAAATAACAGCAGGGAAAGATTAGACTGGGTATTTAGGAATACTTTCTTTGCAGAAATGTGATGGTTGTTTGGGACATGCTGCCCTGAGCAATTGTGCAGCCACCATTCTTGTAGGGAAGTGAAAAGCTGTGTGGATGTGGCACTTGTGCCCAAGATTTAGTGGTGGGGTTGGAATTCCCAGGGGAATGGTTGGGCTCAATGTTCTTAGAAAACTTTTCCAAATTCAGAAATGTTATGGGTCTGATTCATGAGAGGGAAAGTCCCCACTGAACCAGGCAGGGTCCCCAGCTGCTCCCAAGCAACCCCTGCAGCAGCAGCGGAACACACAAACACGGCCCAGCCCTGCAATGCCAAAGTGCTCATCTTTATTCAATGTGGGAAAAGCAGCCCCTGCCCCAAAGACACTGGGGCTGGCACCACAGGGCTCCAGCCCAGCAGCAGCCAGCAGGAGCAGCTGCCACTGCTGCTGTCAGCCCAGCTGGGCACGGCACAGCCACCCAGGGCAGGGGACATAAGGAGTTGATTTTCAGGAACCAGAAGCGATGGCCATGTCCTGTTTGGGAATTTCAGGGTTTAACCCCAAACACTGTAAGAAGAGAGGAAAAAAGCACATCACCTGGGGTAACTTTTCTTGCCCTTCTTTATCCCCTCCCCCTGCAATGAAAACAAGCACAGCGAGATAACTCTCAGCCTACGGAGATCAACTCCAGCTGTTACAAATATCAAGACGAGGATCCTCACACAATTCCAGGAACAGCCTTCTCATTTGGGCAACAGAGCTGAGCTTTCTGCATTGCCAGTGAATAAACTTTGTGGGGCTAAAGGAGTGTAGGGTACAACTGCTTGACCTGGGGCTACTTCAGCCCAAATCAGCGCAGGTCCAAACCCAAAAAGACTTTTCCTTTCCTTTCTTGGCTTTTGCCTCAGAGCATGAACACATGAAGATGTGAAGGAGGAGCTGGCTGAAAGACAATAATAACTTTATCCATGAGTAGGAAGAAACCATTTCCAGAACTTACATTTTGCAGCAGTGGCTCAGTGTTGAGCAAACTCCCACGTATTTATAGGGGAAACGACAGCCCCCCACAGCACAGAATCCTCCTCGTCGGATGCACTTGTCATGTTTTCCTGCTGCCATGGAAAATCATGCCCAGGGAAAGAGTTAAAACAACAGCCTGGGAGAAGAGTGTGTGACTGCACTTCTCCCTCTTCCCCTCTTACCTGCAGCACCTTGGACCAACAGGAGGAACAAGGGGAAGAGCAGGAATAGGATCCTCATGGCTGATGCTTCTCACAGGACTTCACAGAGTTGCAGAGTGGACACACCAAAGGTCCTGAACATTACAGCACACAGAAATGTTCTAAATTGCAGAGGGACTATCACAAGTGACCTGTTCTGAATAACGGATCTCAGATGCTTTATGATTTCCTGGGAGCAGCTGGAGAATTGCCGGCCTCTTGGGCAATTTCCATCACCTTATTCTCTATGAATTCTCTTAAGGGACATGTGGGACAAGAAATGCCTGATTCTTCCACTAGTACCCAAATCAGAATTCAAAGACTTGTGGAAAACAAGCAGAGTATTAACCCCTGGAAGCTGTGCTCCCTCAGGCCTTTTGCATCCAACACTTCTGTTTCGAGCAGAAATACATGTTTCTGCTGAGACAGAGCCAAGGGTGGAACAAGAAAGACTTTCAAATGCAGTTACCAGATGAAACGTGTTTCTGCTGCTTTTATTCTCACAATTATGCCTCTCCTTCCCCAAGAGACAAAGCAGAGTTTGCCTCTCAGGTGGTGCACATGTCAGCACTAAACTCAAAGCCAACAGTCAAACAAGAATTGGGAACTGATCAGGGTTGTGGAGTTGAGGGAAATTCATGTCCCTGGAGATGCTGAGAACTTTGTGAAGGAGGTTCCTGCCTATCACTGTGGTCAATGGAACCATAGACCAAAGTAATGGGGAGGGGCAGAGCCCTGAGTGAGCAGAATTCAAGAAAGAGAACNCTGTGCAGAGGCAGCAAGTTTGGAATCAAGTCCTCACTGCTGGCCATGGACAGGGAAAATTTCTCACTTAGGTGGCTTTGGTGAGTCCTCTGCAGAGCCTCAATGAGGCCCTGGGCCCTGGGGGAGAGTGGGGAGACCCTGGCTAACCTGGGGCTCCTGCAGCCTCAGTGAGGGGAGGTTGAACCTTCAAGAAATATGCTCTCCATTTTGTGCATCTCTCTCAGAGAATAAATGCAGGAGAATATTTATTATGTGTTGTCAAAAAAGGCACTGGTAACAGATTTTCTGAGATAACAAGAGAAAAATCTTTCTTCAGCCAAGGACTGGGCCTTACCTTCTGCAGCAAAAGAGGCTTACTGAACACCTTCCAGCATGATGTGTACCAGGAGGGCAAGAACGCCTGGAGCAGAATCCCCCGTGTCACTTGCACACAATCGAACTGCCTGTTCCCATGGGGAGAGACACATGGAACAATTAAAAGAATAATCTGAGACGTCAGACTGTGGTTATAGACAGGCTGATGCTCCCTGGTCCTGGCGCATTTCAGACCAAGAGAAGGGCTCTGATTCAATCCCCCCACAGCCACATCTCCAATTGCAATGTGCCTCACCTGGAAGGTCCCTGTGCCCCTAAACTGGATGCAAAGCAGAGCACAGAGTAGAAGTGAACAACATGAGGTTGAGGAAGAGCCAGGCTGTCTGCCAGCTGCATTTCCACCTCTGCTTGGACCAGCAGAGCTGGCAGGCAGGCATTTGTCACATTCCACCTCCCTGACCCACAGACCAAGCCAAGATATCGTTTCCATGGGCTGTCTCCACCCCAAATCAGTGTCCATGTATAAACTCACTCAGGAAACAACTTTCACCTCAATCTCCCGTTACCTTTTCATCATTCCCACAAACATGGTCACTTCCAGGAACACTGAATTCCCACAGTTGGGTGCTCACACTTTCCCCCATTTCCCTTCTTCCCTTCTCACCTGCAGCACCATGGACCAACAGGAGGATTAGAGGGAGGAGCAAGAACAGGATCTTCATGGCTGCTGCTCCTTCTGGGTCTTCACAGAGCTGCAAAGGAAGACCAAGGCAATGGGGACAGGCAGAACCCTGAGTGAGCAGAATTCAGGAACAAGAACCCACACTCACCTGCCTGGAGAAGGTCTGGGTGTTGAGGCAGCAGCAAAGGCAAGAAGAATGGCTGTGTGCAGATGGCCTTGGGGCCAGGCAATGCTGCAGTGGCCCAAGCACGCTGGGTTTATAGCAGTGCTGGTGGGTGGGACAGGCCCCAGGTGCTGCTGGCACAAGTGGCCTGGGCCAAGGCNGGTGCTTGAGGGAACAGCCCCAGAGTCAGTGCCAGGCCAGGTGAGCACAGCTGAAATAAAAGCCAAGGCAGGCAGGGATGCTCTGAATATCCCTCACCAAATCCTCCAGGTCTAACAAGCAATGGCAGTACAGATAGTTTTGGGGTCAGACTCTTCTCCCAGGTAACAATTGACAGGACCAGAGGAAATGGTCTCAAATAGCACCATTAGAATAGATTAGACTGGGCATTAGGAATAATTTTATTGTTGAAAGAATCATGGTTTTTTGGAACATGCTGCCCAGAGCAGTGGTGGTGTCACCATTCCTGCAGGGAATTTAAAAGTTGAGTGCATTTGGCACTTGTGCTCAAGGTTTGGTTTTGTGTTGGCAGTCCTGAGGGAATGGTTGGAGTCAATATTCTAAGACGTCTTTTCCAACATCAATGCTTTTATGGGTCAGATTCTTGAGAGGGAAAGTCTCCAGTGAGCCAGGCAGGGTCCCCAGCTGCTCCCATATAACTGTGTATATGGACACATACAGGTATTGAACCAGGCCTGCAATCAAATGCGTGAGGTTTGCTTTGCAGAAAGGGAGAATCCCCTGCCTTTGATGGAGCAGAGCATTGTCACTCCAGACCACTAGCGGTAGGCAGAGACAACAGGAGATTCTGCTTATTCCATGTGGGTTAACAAATTTTTATATTTCTACACCAAAACGGGATCCTTTCCACATGTAGCCCACACCAGGACTTGCATGTTTTCCTGCTGCTCCTGTTCCTCCTATCTACAGGGATGGGATGTGGAGCAGCACAGCCACGGCAGAGAGAGCTGTGGCTCTGGAACAGAACAAGGAGAAGCAACAGTGACAGCCCCTGTGGGTCACCATAGCTATGCCCACTCAAAGGACACTGAACCAGCAGAACTCTTCACATGGAGACATGGTTGTCAGGGTAATCTGGGGCATCTGGGACTGGCAGGAGCAGCACAGGGATTCTAATTCTCCAGAGGGAGCATCTGCAGGGCAGCCCCAGCACAGGCAGCCCAGCCAGGCTGGCCCAGCAGGCAGTGCCAGGCTCAGTGTCCCCAAAGCACAGCCAGGCAGGAGCATCCCCAGGGACACAGGCGCTGCTCAGCCCCAGCTCCATGCCCAGGGCCTTCTGCTGCCACCAAGGCAGTGGCAGCCCCAGGGNTGAGCCTGGCACTGCCTGCTGGGCCAGCCTGGCTGGGCTGCCTGTGCTGGGGTTTCCCTGCAGATGCTCACTCCTGTGAAGCAGAATCCATGTCGTGCTTTTTATACGCCCAGACTTCTTTATTTTCTCACGTCCTTTCTACCCTGTCACTCACTTAGAGGTTGGTGATTGTTCTTTCCCATGGGGGATCCTCATCAGAAGTGAGGATGAGCTCAAGGGAGGCACAGTCCTGCTGCGGGTGGGAAATGAGCTCCCTGCGTTTTCTGCAGGGATGTTCCATTTGTCCACATCGAGCAGGACATGGCTCCTACTGGGAATCTCAAGCTACACATCTGTGTTTGTGTGTTCATTGTGCACACCCTGAGAATCCCCTCCGTTGTCTGGGCTCACCTGAGACTGGCTGGAGCCCGGGCATGGCCTTGCCCTCTGTTCTGAGTCCACCTGGGCTCTGCAGATTTCTGGGAGATGTTGGAGTGTCCCTGCAGTCCTAGGTATGCCTCTGGTCCGGGAAAGGTAGCAGATCTAGCTCAGGGTTGTCCCCATGTGCCTGGGCTGCCAATTGTTCTCTGTCTCCAACATGCAGGGGAAGTTTTCTGGTGGTAGTTGGGTGATGTTTATAGCGCTTGATTGGGACACACTCAGGACCCCCTCTCTGCAGCCTTCGGCAGGGATTCTTCAACATATATAATGCCTCCATCCCTGCACAAGGCAGGACTCTGAGGGTGGAGCAGGATTTCCCTTTCCCCCTTTTTCTCCTCCTCTCCAGCAGGGCTCCTGTGCACAGTGCTGTGGACTCAGAAAGACATGGAGTAGGAGCCATGGTGATAGGGGCAAAGCCTCATCTCTAAAGTAGCCACAGATTTGTTCCAAGGTCCCAGCTCCAATCCCAGCTGCAAAACCTGCAGCAGGAGCCATTCCTTAAAGGTATGGGGCAGTGAGGAACCTCTGCACAGCCAGGAGAACTCACATGCGACTTATTATCTCAGTAGAGGAAAAAAAATACCTGTATCGAAAGGCTTGACTTCTGTCTTTTTTCATCTTCATTCTGTTTATAGGAAAATTCAACATCCACAGCACAGTTTCAGTGTAGTATCACTTAAATCCTCTATTTTTTCATCCATTTAATTCATTACTATTGTGCCTGCTGCTCTCTGAACATATACATGAGGAGAGCACATAGGACAGGCTGGAGTCACTTGAGTACTTGAGACCTCCAGCCTAAAAGTTCCTTTCTCTGTTTCCCCTCTGCACTGAAGAAAAGGAGGTTTTGGGTTCCTCTTCTGACACCTCTGAGAAGGATTCCCAACACAAGGTCTTGTGTCATCCTGCCTTGTGTAAGAACTCCTTGTGGTTCTGTGGTGTGCTGGACACATCCAGGGACACAGACTCGTTGGAAACCAGCACCAACCTGCTGCTCTGGCACAGAGCACAACCTTTTCCACTTATCTTCAGAAAACCTTCCCAGTAAACCATCAGTAATCAGAGCAGTTGGACTCTCTGTTCCTGCTGAAGATGCAGAATCCATTTCCTGTGTTTTTCTTAATTGTCACCTTGTCACTGGGACTTCATATCTCAAGGTTATGCAGGGAAAAATGTTGAGGTACTGTTGAGGCACCAGGATCCAAATCCCCAGAAACTCAGGCTCTGCAATTTGGGGGCAACCAGATTGCTCGGCCAAACCCCTGGAGAGGGACCTGCTAACTTGGGCACATGGCACAGACCGTCCTGCCCAGCAAGGGCACCAGAACTGGGGTTGGTGCCTGCACCCACCAGTTCCTGCGCCTATCCCAAGGATTTCCCTGCTGGTCCACAGCCCAG